ATCATCGATCACATTCCTCTGTGGCTCCATGATCTCCTTGATCAGAAAATTTGGAGCACAACTGAGTTACATGTTGCTACAGTACAGGTTCTTCTATGTCCCAGTTTTCACTGACCTTGAAAGTCTAGGCCAAAATGTTGGCTGACCTTGCAGCCCTTCCTTTTCTCCAATTTTGAACTACTAACTTAGGTTGTTAACCCTCCAGAAGAGAAGCTTATTATTAACCTGCAATATATGTAGTTCAGTTTACTCCATCTATCTAAATATCAAACATCTTTGGCATATCATGGAACAGGTATTTTCCATCAAATATTGGTATGTTGAACTTTAAGACCTTACAGAATATGTAGGAAAAATAATTTTAAGAAGGTAGAAATAAGCATTTACATAATTTTACAAAGAAATTTAGAAATCAAATCACATACAGACTTGTAACAGGACAGACCTGTGGAGGTCCTAGGTTTAATTTCCAACACGGCAAAAACAGAACATTACAAGAAAACTATAAACTATTATCTTCTATGAGTATTAATACAAAATCTGCAGAAAATACTAGAAGACAAATTTGAGCAGCATATTACAAGGACTACATACACTGGCCAAGTGGGATTTATTCTTATAAGGATGGTTCAGTATATAACATACCACATTAACAATTAAAAACCTATCTGGTTTTATCAACTGATGTAAGAAAAGGATGTGGCATAACCCAACAAATTTTCAGGATTAAAAAAATCCTAAAAAAATGAAGAAAACCACAAGTGATAAAGGTCATATAAAAACTCATAGTAAACACCATGCTCATTTGGTAAAAGATTAAAATCTTTTCTTGTAAGATTAGGAATAAGACAAAAATATCCACTTCCATCACTTTTGTGCAACATGCTACTGTACTGGAAGTTCTAGTCAAGAGACATGAGAAAAAATGTAAGGAATTTAAATTGGAAAGAAGTAAAATAATCTTTTTGCAGATAGCATGGTCACACATTTAGAAAACTTGAAAGAAGCTATAAAAATACTTGTATTCTTCAAAAATTAGGACATATTCTGGATGGTTAACAACCTAAGTTTGTAGACCAAAATTAGAGAAAAAGGAGGGCTACAAGGAAAGCCAACATTTTGGCCCTAACCTTCTAAGGTCAATCAAGACTCAGGACATATGAGAACTTGTACTGCAACATCATGTACCTCGGTAGTGTCCCAAATTTTCTGATCAAGGAGATTATTGGGCCAAAGAGGAAAGTGATC